AAAGGAGAGGCAGGGGAAAAAAAAGAATCAATATAGAATACTACCATACTCCAAGCTTTGGTCAAGACATGCTATTTATTATCTTGATTATTTTCCAAATCACTCAAATAGAATCTAATAGTCCCATGGATAGAGAGGATAAGAATTATAGAATTAGATCAGGTGACATAACACGGCTAGTTAGCAAAGTTGAGATCCAAGTTCATGTGTTGATATCTCAAAACTCTGCACTAAAAATCACATACAGGGTTTATTTGGATTATTGAGCCATGTACAATCAGGACTCTGAATTGTATGCCAGCTTTCTCATCAGTAAGCAACAGTCTTTAAAATGCTGCCAAATATTTCAGGGAAATAAGTGACCTGAAAGAGAAGTTAATCCATTCAGTCCCCATTGATTTGCATACATGTTTTTTTCTTTTAAGCAAAATTTGATTGCCATGTTATATCCCCAAATAGAATTATTGTTTAACTCCTATTTGGAAGTAGCTGTGGTCATTCAAAATGAATGCATACTCATATATAAAACTTGACCTTGCCCTCATCATACTTAAAGTTTATTAAACATCTGTAGATAAACAGAAAATAAAGCAGTAATTGAATTTGCATGTGAACATTTAGAAGAGGAATGCTAATTGTCTTTTTCTTATTAAAATTCACTGAATAATTATTTTCATCCTTGGTCATTTAGCAATTAAGAAAATTGCCATCGAAATAAGCTCTTAAATATGACTTCTAGGGCCTCGATAATAATTTAATATTACTTTTGCTAATAGCCCTGGGTCTATTTTGATTAATTAGAATCACCTATTCCAGATTCAATTAAGTTTCATCTTCCTATATATATATGTTTTGCCTTTTCTTGTCTTGGCTATTTTAAGATCTCATTGAAAGAGTTGTTAGACTATGCACATGAATATAGATGAAAGGCCAAGTAAATAAGAATCTTTTCCAAAGTTTAATGGATGTTGTCACTGCTTGTGGAAATAATGTCATATATTACTGTTCAATTTGGAAAAGATCCAAAACTTTAAGTAGTTTTACAGTAATGAGAGAATAAGAATCATTAAATATGTCAAATATATAGATATTCTTTATTAGACATCAAAATAGAGACTTTTTCATAAATAATTATTGAATGAACTTGTTGTGATATAAAACTGTATGCTTGTGATCTTTGCAAAAAATAATATTTTTTTTCCCAGAGAGAGATTTCCTTAATAAAATACAAATAACGGAACGTAGTGTTAAATGTGTACAGACACACACTAAATATTCACCAAATTAAGGTTTTTCTCAGTAGAACATCTCAATTTTTAATACCCAAACTTCATCTCAAGAATTATCGATAAAGGTGCCAAAATATGGGATAACAAAATGATATTAGTTTTATTAAATAAATGCCTACTATATGCCAGACATTAGACTAGGCTAATCCAATGGGAAATTATATCTTTCAATGATATTCTCTCTGCTTTATAGATGAAGAAATTGTTTCAGGTATGATATAGAACACATAGCTAATAACTGGAGAATCCTAATGAATTCTTAATCCACTAGAGTGGGATGCTGGAGCTTTCATAGTAGACCTTGGTACATTTTTTTGTTGTTCTATTTAAATAAGAATGTAACTTCAGTTCTTGGAAATTTCACCTCAGCTAAAGGAGTCCTATTGTCAAGGAAAAATCCCCAAATCTCCTGCTGATCCCCATGGGCAAACCTAACAATAAATGGCTAAGGAGCAACTGAAATGTGGTAGGTTCAAGTGGAAGTAGACTATGAATACATTATATACACTGAATTTAAAGACCAAATGAAAAAAATAATAGTTCAGCATTTTCTTAGCTACCTGTCTTACACTGATTTTGTACTGAAATGATGGCATTTGGATAGATTAAAGAAAACATTAAAATCATTTTCACTTTTTAAAAATGGTCTACTAGAAAACATAAAATTGAATATGTGGCTTACATTTTTGATCCATATTATGCTTCCCTGATGTCTTTTAACTCTCTTTACTAACTTTCATGAATATCAAAGAAAGCAATTTGGCTTTTTTATTTGTTTAGGATACCAATATCCCAATACCACATAAAACAAACAAAAAAAAACAGAAAAGGACCAACCAACCAACCAACCAAATAACATAGATGGTCTTTCCTTAAAACATCAGAGACTCCTAAAAAGCCCTCTGAACTCAATATAAAGGCATAGTTTTTCAAAATCATTTCACAATTGAAGATTTCACAAAGTGTACTATTTTACTCTTACCAACATATAAATGTTTACGTTTAATTTCTGAAGGCACTTAAAGGTACATTTAACATTTCATAGGAAAGTGAACTTCATTGAATGTGTATTTTTCACTTGAAATATAAGCAACAGAGACAGGTAGCTAAGAAAATACTAAACTATTTTACCTCAATTTTTAGAGTGCTCCAAGAATAGAAATAAAAGCATTCAGGTTTTCTTCAGGGAGTCTTTTACTACACCCATTCCTACCAATTTTAACACTTTATATAAATGAATATTTCTTTCCTACTTTTATATAATAAAAATGCAATATTAATATATTAGTAATATATTAACTTATATATTCCATATTAATCCTTTCTTCTTTTTTACTTGTATGTGCACTTAACATTTATAATTTCTAAGACCAGTCACCATTCTAATACTCAAGGTAGTCCCCAGTTTAATCCATTTCCCTTGACTGTCTCAGGTGTTGAGTTGTACTGAACGCCTGCTTACGTGGAGCTATCATCTAAACTCTACCTCCACAGTCTGACACCATCTCTTCTCTCCCTTGCCATCTGGTCTGCCCATAGGGACTCTACCACATTCTTCATCTATTCCTTATTTGCTCAGATTCAGCCACCACTTCCCTAAAAACTGGGCCGATCTTTTCCTCCTATGAGTTCCAAATGTGGTTCCAAAGTTCTGAGCATTCTGTAATTAGCCTAAAACTAGATACCAACACAACTTATATTCTGTATTCTCCACATTCTCACAGAGGTTTTTCTTGGCACTTAATCATATCATACCCAATATTAGAGTTTGGGGGGAGGTATTTTTCCTACTCCCAGTTGCCATGATGAATTCTTAAAGAAGATTCTTTCATTTTCTATTTATCAAAAATTTTGATCAAACACCACAAATACCATAAAGATCTGTAGCATTATTCATCAATGCCCTTAATTTGATAATTAATATATAATGGGTACAACTTCACAGATACATTTTTGTTTTCTTTCTGGAAGTCTTTTAAAATTACTTTTAGATTTTAGTTGGTTAAGATCTTAGTATCCCCAGCAAAATCCATTTATTCCTCTTGTATCACATGTAATAGCTGTTCATTAAGTGTTCAAGTGGTTCAACAACAATAACAACAAAAGAAAATTAAAAAGAAACTTTTACTCCCTTACTACTTGGATGCTATGATGAGATAATTTTTATTATGATCACAAAGTTACTATTCCAAATACCAGAACTTTATAACCAGTGTAGCTGTGATCCAAACATCCTACCCTAAAAGAAGGCAAAGCTTTTTTTCAAGGAAGATTAATCTGAGGAAGCTGAAACACATTTGCAATAAATCACATGAATATACATAGGCCTCAACAGAGTGTTGAAATGTTTGCATGTTTTCATCCTGAAATGCTTGTATGTTTTCCTCTATGCTATTCCAAATACAGTCAGAAGCCTATCAAGTGAAGAGCCTATTCAATCATCAAATAGGAAACATATATAAACTTCCTTTTAACCATGTTAAAATATTCCTTTTGCAATAAACAGAGAAGTAAAGACAGAAATTGCAATGTTCCTCATTCCACTTGCCATGTTACAAGACAAAGCAAATAAACAAGCTTATTCCTAATAAGCATTATTGTTTCGTAGTCCTTTCAACTACAAAAGACACAATTTAGAAGCCAATGGAAGTGCCCTTTGTTTTGTACACTAAACTCATGGTTTACATATTAATATCTGTCCCATTATCAATTGATGGAATTTGCTCTTTTGTCATTTAAATAATATATTTTCATCTCTTACCTCTAATATATCATATGAATTAATGGCACTTGATATTTTCACTTCTTACAATGTAGTCACTGCATGTATTATATCGAATGTCTGCCAACTCAACATTTTACTATAATTCTTAAGATAAATTACCAAAAAATATTTTAGGTTAAAAGGACATATGGACATATTCAATCATCTACACTATTGCAATGTATAAATTCAACCACTCAAGTTGACATTCTCATGGGTCTGCAAAGAATAAGGCATATAGAGACAGCCCCTGATTTATAATGGTCCAAGGAAAATTCTTCAACATTATGATGGCAAGAAAACAATCCGCATTTAATGGAAGCCATAGTTAGAATTTCAAATTGTGAGCTTTTCATGGCCTCCCAGTTTAGGATATGATACTCTCCCTGGGCCTCAGCAATGAACTACAGATTCCAGTCAGTGATGCAATCATGCAGGTAAGCAACTGATGCTCTACACGGTACTGTGGTACTGTGCTATGATGTGCTCTGGGTTAGGTGTATTAAATGACTTTTGCATTTATAATATTTTCAACTAAATGATGGGTTTCTCAGGATGTAACCTCATCACAAGTTGAGGCAAAACTGAATATAACCACAATAATGTCATTAAAATGGACTAACTCTGCTCTTGCTTTTCTTAGATTTTGTTAAAAGTGAATTGAACTTTGTGTAAGACTAAATTTTTTAATCAAACTGAAAATAGAGGAGTCATATTAACCTAGAAAAAAAGCTGATTAAGCTGAGAACTCATGAACTAGTAAGTATAACAAAGGTTTAACGAAAATTCAGAAGACATTTTTATGAGTAAAAGCTTGAAAAATACTTTTTTAGGTTCAAAAAATAGTTTTTTTTTCTTTTTGAAACAGTGAATTAATCACTGCTTTTGTACTTTCTTCCCACCATCTACCCTGCAAAAACAAGCAGCAAACTCAAAATAAAACATACCCGTTGGAAGAGGAACAGGCAGTTCCTCTCTCATGGAGGAATGAGATGATATACAGCTCTCTGTGAGCACTATGTCATCAAGTGCAATACTGCCATGGTGACCTTTGCCGACTCTACCTTCAAATTTGATTTGGAAGTCCTCATCACCAAACAGTGATAATTGTTGTTTCCGCCAGAAATTGCCTTGTTCTGCAGTGAGATTAAGTAGGACTTTCGTTTGGTTTGAGACAGATACTTGGGTCAAGGTGAGGGCCCCAATGCCGGTTCCATACATGTGGTAATAAAAAATGATCTGTAACCAAGAATAGGAATATTATTTTAGTAATACAATGAATTACACTTTATGTTTATTTAATAATTCTCATTTATTAACAGATCTGGGAGGAGAATTAGATTAGTATATTCCATTGTTCTGTATGTACTGTAAAGCTGAGTTATAATTCTTGAATTAGGAAATTCTTGAATCACACATTATGATATACAGCAGTTTACTAGTATAGTAAGGACTGCATAGAAACTTATACAAAATGAACTGAGTTTACTTTCTAAATGTGAGATTCATTGAGATTATGGTTTCAGTGTGTCCTGCAAAATTTCTGTGTGGGGATTTAATTCCCAACAGAATGGTGCCCAGAAGGGACCTTGAAGAGGTGATTAGGCTCTGCCTCTGTGAATAGATTAAGGCCATTATTGCGAGAGTGGGTTCATTATCAAGAGAGTGAGTTAAATCACCTTCTTAAAAATCATAGAATATTCTCTTATTTCATCACATACTTGTGAAAACATATTTTCAGTTCTACAAGATCCTCAGGGCTCCTCTTTATATAGCAAAACCACCAGAACAGCAATTATCCAAATTTTACTTGAAAATGCTAGAAGCAGGCCTTAGAAGAGCAGCCTTGGGAGTTTTCCCCAGAGTGAAAATTAATAGAAGTATTTTGGAAGATTAACATTTCAACGTGTCAAAGAAGTGTTATACTAGATTTTTAGTCATTGTTTTACACCAGAAGAAATTCAGGGAAAATTCTGGGAAAAAATAGAACAGAACAGATTAGGAACAACAGAAATTCTGAACTGCTTAAAGCTCTTGTCTTATCATGGAGTGAATGAGAGAGAACAGTTGTGGTATAATCTTCATAGAGGAAAAAAGACACTGAAAAACTCACAGTCTCATGTATCAATTCATACTCTAGAGAAAGAGAAAATGAATGTTTAAAAGGTAAAGAATCAAGGAATATATGCAGTGCATTAGTGCAAAAAGCCTTAGACCAAAAAGAGGTACCCTGTGTAGACAGACTACTTGAATTTCCTAGCGGATGAATTCTTAAAGTATTCTTCTATGATACAAAAATATTTCTTTGATTAACTCCCAACATGAACTGTATGGCTGTTTGTATTGGGACTGATGCAACCTGGATGGAATTATTGATTTGAGTAATCAATAAAAAAGTCCTCAGGCCAACTTTATGAGCAGCATCAACAGAGACTGATCAGGCCCAGCTGAATGGTGTACTTCCGAGTGGAACCCATCCAGCCAAAGACATGGTTGGCCAGGTTTCTGCTTACCATCTGTATTTGTTCCACAAATACAAGCCATATGTGTTGTGTCTTGGTCAATCCTTCTCTATCTGAAGGTCATTTTATGAATGATATCATCAGATTTATGTGCAAACACACACACTCAATTTCCATTTTTAGGGAGCACACTTGATGTCAAGATGACCTAATCTCAGGGTAACGAGAGGGAATGAAAATTTCCTATTAATTCTTCAAAGGAGATTTTTTTTTTAAACTGGAAATTCTTATTCTTCAGAGATTTGATTTCTTTCCTCATCAGTCTCTGTGTGCCTGACTCTCATCCACCTATCCTCCAAAAGAAGGAAAAACCATTCAATTTTCTTTGCTTAAAAGTTTTCCAGAGGGTGAAAGGACAGAGATGATCCTTCTGTAAATTTGTGAAGTCACTACTTACCTGCTGCACATTTTTATGATATGAAAGAACCAATAACTCTTAGTGCGACCTTTCCTTGCCTCTCTGTATGCAGTCCTTATCATAAATATTCACAAAATGAAGCATTAATTATTAATTTTTTGACTTTTCTTCTACATATACTTCATTATTCTCATATAGATGCTTAAAATAATGGGGACTATAGTCCTAGGACCAAGGGGAGATAGGGATAAATGAAAGTCTCAGCTACTACAGTATGAGAAAAACAATTTTGAACATTTTTAGTGGAAGTATCTAATAGAAAAGAAGCTTAGAAGTCAAATGAAATTGGGTTTATGAGCATATATCATGTTTTATATTTAATTTTCCAAGACTAAATAGAATTTGCAATTTTCTATTGATATATAGAGCCAGATATAGCATAGATTCAATGTATATAAAATATAGTGTGTCTGGGTTTTATTTCAGAGAAAGTATCCACTCATTTGTAAGACAGCAAAATCATGAAACTATGTTTGATTAAAACTCAATTTAAGAATTGAGTTAAGAATTTAATATTATTCTGTGACTTGTTACTTCTATTCTAGACTTCTGACCCAATTATTTTTCTAAAAGTCTCATCTGATTACATCACTTTTATTTTAGAAAATCCTCACAGTCTGAGAGATGAGGTTGCTCTGTGGGGGTTAAACCAAGAAACCATATCATGATTTGACAGAAAAAACTATGATAAACTAAAGTTTCACATGTGTGAAGACTCTATCTGATAGAATGTTGAAGACTGGTCACTAAGTCTTTTTGTACTATGGGACACAGGTACATCAGAAGATTAGATCTTGACGATAATACAGTTTTAAGTCCTATAAGTGTCTCCTAGCCTGACTGGGTCAGCAAACAAACAAACTTGCTGGATATAGTTGTTTTTTTTTTTTAATTTTCAGTGTTCAAACATTAAGGAATACCATAATCAGAGAATCTGTGATCAGATCTTATGGAAAGTGTTTCTCATCATAAATATAAATAAATGACACATTTGTTCATGCACCTGTTTCTCATAAGCAAGTTTCCTGTAAAGTCATCTCTGAGTGCATGGTTTATATTATACATGAAGGTAAATTTAGTTCCTAACCTAGCTGACTCAAATCATTTATTGAGTATAAACAAACAACTCAGCAAACATGAGAGGAATGTGGAAAACTCTGCAAAAATGTAGTCATTGTATGAGGCTTTTTGGTCTAAGGAATCATAAAATTGAATTTAGATTTTTAAAACTTCACAGACGTATTCTTCAAATTTCACAAGCTAAGGACTATGTTACATTTCCTGTTTCCCCACAGAAATTCTTTATGAAGGAACAAGTTCACTCTTTCCTTTTCCATGAAATCTCCTTCAAATCTTTTATTGTGGTTTTAATCATCTTTAATATTAAATCTTAGACATATTTAATTATATCCTGCATATTATTTCATTTTTTTGTGGTAAAATTCTCATAGTTCCAATAAGCACTAAATTCTCCAAAGGGAAGGAACTGGCATTTTACATATTTTGTGTTATCTATCCTCATGAATGATAAACCATGGAATTTTCCACTAGTTTCCAAAATTCCAATATCCATGGAATTTATCCATAGGAATACAATTTCTAACAATCCTTCCCTTTCATTCTTTCTTGTTTTTTTCTTTACTTCACATATACCATTTGAACAACTTCAAACTCATATTTGGTCTGACCCCTGCATTCTATTTGCAGTATTTGATTTTATGAACAGTCTTGCACAATAATTGAGACTTTTCCTTCCATACCTTGCAGTTTTTGCTTTTCTTACTTATAACTGGGCTTGATAGTCTGGCTGTCCTCATGGGTTGCTGTGGAAAATAGCTCTTTATAAAGATGTAATGGCCAGATGAATTGCCTAAGGTGTGGTCCACAGCCGGTTCTGTGCTTGTAGGTGGGATGCTGCTAGGTTTTAGATTCCAGTCACAGTCCTCATCCTGATCCTGCTCCCAGGCACAGAGGTCAAATTCAAAATCACAGTGCCCACTAAAAGTACCTGGAAAACATTTTCAAATTTATATTAGAAAAGAATGGAAATCCACTGTCTTTCAAGTTTGTGTTTCAGAAATACAGTGATATTACTATATCATGCAGTATTCCAAACCTTACAATGCTATCCTGATGGCAGCATTTAAATAGAGCATGTTAGTTTGTTCTATACAGCTATTTGCATGGCGACATAAGTTCATTTCTCCACAAATCTAGTCCCAATCTCAAAACTTGAGAAAAGACTTTAGCATCACATACACTATGTCTTCTGAACACCTATTTATTCAATGTAATTTATTACTTCTCTTTTCTCATCTTTGCTTCCAAGGTCTTGGTAGTGAATTTAGAAAATTTATTATTCCGCAAGAGTTTAGTTTGGGAAATATTGCCTGCCACAAAAGCTACCATAAATCATAATTTTTTAAGAATTTAATCTCTTTAGAGATGAGAAAATTATGAAATGAAAAAGGTACAAATGATGTAATAATTTGAATTAATTTATTGTAGTAAGTTACAGAAATTAAATGTTAAGTTACATTGAATACCAAACTATTTCCCAGGTGTTTTTCTTAAAGTTTATTTGTTTTTTTCTTACATTTTCTGCATACGAGAAATTACACAGACATCTCTTTATAATGCTAAAGTTAGCTATAAGGCTATCAATGTTAGTGTAGCTGTTATAAAATGGAGCATTTTGGTATAAAAGGTCATTTCTTATGGTGTGTTTGGGACACTTTCCATCATCCTTATGTTTAAGTAAATAGTATGATCCTGAATAAAACCAGTGAGTGAATGATTTGATAAGTAGTAAAATATTCTGTTTAGAATTACTTGAAAAAATAATTCTTTATTAATTTATGCTTGAATATTACAACTAAAAATGAAAATCTCTAAAATTATACTTATATGTGAGATGGGATCCAAAACTAAACGTACTTAAGGAGAACCTACTGTAGGGTGTCAAAATGTATCCAGATGGTGATTTTTCGAAGAAAGATCATTTGAACAATTGTTCAAACTCTTTAAAGTAATTTTATATAAATGAGCATAAAACTTATTTGTCACCAACACACTAAAGAGCCAATTCTCTAACACACTGTCCAAAGGAAAATAGAATCCATGACAATTTCTGGACAAAAATCTACTTAATTCTATTACACAGGGCCTTAAGAATTTCAAAATTCTGTTGTGCTTACCAGTAAAATAGTGGTTTTCCTTTATAAATATATTTTTACAGTTATAAAAATAAAAAATTGTTTAAAAACAAAATAAACTTCATATTCTTTATAGTTAATAAGGTGAAAATATGAAATGTATGTTGTATAATTGTTTCTATGCCATTTTACATATATAAAATGAAACTGAAAATTTCTGTAATTTGTAAAATTGTTTCTAGGTATGTTATAGTATATATAATTACAGCTAATTATATCTCATCTCCTACTAATAAACGTGCCCAACAATGAAAATGGGTTTAAAATGATCATTTTTAGATTAAAAGTGATAAATTTAAGAAAACACCAGGATAAACATTCTTTTTAAAATGGTTTAATTTAGCAGTCAGACTAATACTAATTTCTTATGTTTTTTAAAGAAAAAAAAAAATTTTCCAACAAAGTTTTAATCACTAAATCAACAAAATGGCCTTTTTATCCAATTGCTGAGTTAGTTTTAAAATTACATTTCAGATTCATTTTTATAATTTATTCTTCATATAATAGACTAAAATACTTATAAATATTTTAGATCAGAATATTCAAGTTCTCCTAAATATTCTTTCAGAGGACTGGGAAGGAAATCTCACTAAAATAATAGTAACCCTAAGCCTGTATCTAGTTTAGAATCTGAACTGTAGTCTTGATTAAGAATTACATCAGGGCTGGGGTTGTGGCTCAGTGGTAGAGTGTTGCCCAGCACTTGTGAGTACCTAGGTTCGATCCACATAAAAATGAAATAATTAATTAAATAAATGTATTTTTAAAAAGAATAATATCATGAAGTAACTCATTGTGCTTGTGTTAGAAAATTTGGCAACCCATAAGGATCTGATTACCATATAGACCAATACTTAGAGAAGCCATTTGTACAACATATAGCTGCAGAAAACAAGATTTCTTTAAAAAAATCATAAAAACTCTGCTATGTGAACCTCTCTCTATAATGTAAATCACATCTTTATTTTGATTTTTACTATATTTTTGAAGATACATTTCCTTAGAAAATTTAATTCTGACATACAGGTTGGGAAAATAGAACAAACAATTGTAAGTTGTTTGAATTTCACATCACTGTGGTAAGAGGGATCACCTTTAATTTCATGTTTCATTATTTCCCATAGGTGCCAGGTGAGAAAAGCTGCAAACATTTCTGTGAGCAGATGTCAATTCTTGGCATTTCATGGTGCAATTAAGGCCAATGCCAGACAGGTGTGCCATAAGGAAGGAAGAAAATTATCACTTTTGTCTACAGCCATATCATTAATCAAACCAGTTTTCACCTTTCCACATGTTATAATGATCAATATCTTTCAAAGTATAAAATATATATTTCTTTTAAAAAGACATCATTTCAAAAGACCACAACCTTATAAGATCCTACAATCATATTTCTAAAATTAAGAGCTCACCATTCTATTCATTTATTTATCCCATACAAATTTGTAGATATTCTATAAATTAAGTATATTAAGGAAAATAGGAAACAGTCTAGAAAACGGGTAACTGGGTATTGAACATACTGTGTGCTACTTCTGAATATTCTCTTTATATTTGTAAATTCATTTAATCCGCACATTATTGTTTTCCTTCTTATTTTTGTTGTTGAGAAGGCTGAAGTTCTGAGATAAACTTTACTTAATATTATATCATGAGTAGCAGAGCCGTATGGTAAAGAGTGATACGCCACAGTCCCTGGAATATCACACCCTTTATAAAGTAGTCAGCTTGGTTTGAGTGAGGGTGAGAGTGAGGGTGGCAATATTGCAAATTTACAAAAACTATAGCAAAAGAAAGTACATAAGGGGCTGGGGATGTGGCT